AAAAAATGAGTAAACATTACATTTACAGCGAACCCTTGTTTTTCTTAGGGTTGGCGTTCCGAAAATAACCCCTGACAGGCGAAATCCGTGAAGTAGTTGCCTTTATTTTTTGCAATTATTATACAGCATAATTAAATACTCTACATTGAAACCAAATAACAAAACCTGATTTCAGGTCAGCGGATCCGGAGTCATGTCATTAAAGCGTCTCCTCCAACCTGCCCCGCCAGACTCACAGCTGTATCTACGGCAGAACGATGGATCTCATCAAGCGAGCCTCCGGTTGGGTTCTGCTGCCTCTGGTCACAGTTATTTATTTATTTATTTTTTCCGCGCTGACATTCAAAGTTTCAGTTTCCATCTCGTGAATGGCCAATCTGTATTAAACACCGTAATTTTATTGGCAATCGGGTAAAGAAGCGCGGAGACTGCTTTTACTAATCATACGGTAAACTAAGAGTCAATTTCAGTTGAATTTGGAGTCAGATCAAATAGAAACTGACAAGAACCGGATGAAACAACAAAAATGAAAACTAATTTATTTTCCAATATAAGATCAAAATGGTCCCACACTGCGGAAACATCTCGTTTGAAGCTGCTCCATGCTTAAAGCTGTTCCGTAAAAGATCAATAATTTGTTTGGCAAATGCTTTTGACAGATTCGCTTCCTTATACAGACAGGTCCTATATCGGTCACGTGACTTGCTGCAACCAATACGCGCACCGACACGGGTTTTAGTCTGTGGGCTGGGTATTGCTGGACCCATCACTACGGCAAACTGTTTCCCAGTAGAGAACACACGGACAAATACTGTAGATATGGCTCATAGTCTCTTGGTGGTATCTGACAGTAATGTAGGAACGTTTATTATTATAATTTCGGCTTGTCAGTTTGGATAACACCACCAACAACATTAGCTGTTAACTTTATATCATTTAGATGAGATTTTATTACAGTACAACTTATCGACATGACTTTCTATTTGGACACGTAGACACCACAAGCAACACCATCAGGTATGTGAGTTAAATTTTATTAAATATGACAACCACCTCATTTTTTTAGCGACACTTACTGTGGGTAGTAAGTCGCTAAACAATGTGTTCACAATATGTGGTTCCAGTTTCTCTCGATGGCCAACCTGTTGAAACTGTGGCAAATTTTAAATACCTTGTGTCGTTCCTGGACAGTCAGCTCAACTTTGCTGAAACAACTTTGCTGATTATATTTTGAAGAACTGTTCTCAGAGACTCTACCTTTTAAGAAGACTTAGTGATCATGGGGTGACCCAACTATACTCCAGTTGGGTCACCCCTATGTCTTGAATTTTTTGGGGGGAGAGTGGGTCATATTTTATTTATCACTACAGAAGGGTACATTTATCAGTGAGGGTACAGAAGGGTTCACTAAATTTTAGCCACTAGTTGATCGATAACACCGGTCGCCGCATGTTACGCAGAGCGGGCTTGTAATGTGGGACTCACCTACCGGTCCGGGATAAATCCATCCTCCCATCTCTTCTCTGGGCCTTTTCCCCTTTGCAAAGAAACTTTCCAAAGACATCTGATCTGTTTCTTACTCATTTTGCTGCTTGTGGGCTCAGTGTTGGCGCGCAAGTAACAGACAGAATCCGGTTAAAGGATTTTCAAAATAAAAGATCCTCCAGACTCGATACATAAAACGGAAATATTTAATTATTTCTTGCGCGGCCCGGTACCAATTGGTCCACGGACCAGGGGTTGGGGACCACTGGCTTTAGAGAATCCAAATTTAGAATAGACACATTGTTCAGAAATCCTTTATTAACTTATAAAATTCTTATTTAACAGGTCGGATCAGGTTCAAATAAACCGTGCTTAGGTTCACAAAAGGGATCTCAAGAAGTTCACATTTTGTGATCCTTAAATGAGAACTTGTTTTTTTTTTTGTGTGTGTAAGATCTTCAAAAGTTGTCATAACATGGTAAGAAATGTCAGTTGTGGAACCACACTGTAACAAAACATACATGAGAATTTCAAAACAATTTGAAATGTATTTTAAAAATATTCTGAGTCAAAAAAGCGACATTGTTCCATTGTTAAAGTCCCCAATGTCAGTTGAGAATGTAATTGTAAAATACATTTACGAACAAACATTTTACAATAAACTTTAAAGTATAATTCTTTAATTACGATGTGTGAAATTACAATTCACACGTGTTTGATTTAGACATTTAACTGCATAGAAAAATGTTTTAACAAGTATAATCATTCAACCACAAGAAAAATTCAAGAGGAAACTAAAATCAGTAATTGCTTGGATGTGTTTGGAAATACTTTGGCTATGTGTCATTGGCAGACGGGTATAATCTTGCCACTTCACAGTTTGCTGCATTTAATAAAGTGATTGCTGAGCCTCAGATTAAAATAACTGATCTATGACTGGAATTATGAATAACAGAAGTGGGATGTTGTTTTTGGTTGTTCCCATTCAAAAGTATGTCAGGTACAGTGAATCATTCCTAATGCATTTTCCATCCGTCCATTCTTCCATTGGCGTTTCTAGGCCAGCAGAGACGCATCGTCCCTCCATGTGTCTTGGGTCTACTTCTGGGTCTCCTCCCGGTGGGACGTGTCCAGAACCTCCGCCACTGGCTCGTGTCAATGTGGAGAAGCAGCAGCTCTACTCTGAGTCCCTCCCGGATGACCAAGCTTCACCCCGTCTCCTGTCTCTAAGGGAGAGTCCAGACCAGGGGCGGAGATATGGGTGGGGGTTGCCTCCCGGCCCCGAGAGGTGCCTGGGAGGGAGGAATGGTTTCAAGTCACTTTAATATCTGATTACAGAGAGAAAAAGCGCAGAGGAGGGTTGGACCGCATCTCGACCAGTAAATTGTGAGCTTGGCTGAAGCTCCCTCTTCAGCCTAACAAACCGGGACTGAGTCCACATCACTACAGACCCAGCACAATTGATCAATTATCCCCTCCATTTTCCCCCCTCATTCATGAACTGGAGATACTTAAACTCAAGCGACTTCAGATCATTTAAGTATCAGCAGAACTGAAGGTCATCGGCAACTCAAGGAGAATCGGTTTGTTCATCACTAAGGCAGAATATTTTTCTGCTAACAGAGTAAAAAGAAACATGAACACAAATAGAATGAAGAACAAAAAGACATTTAAAAGTTTTAAGATTCACCTGTTGTTACTTAATGGAGAAGAGTCAAAGTGAATGGGTGATAATGAGTCAATTATATTAATTGCATATCATGTGCCTGGATCAAATGTAGTCATATTCAATAAATTAGAATATGGATTCTGATTAATCTCATTTGTAAGATTAAACATATTTGTCATTAGTCCCACAATTCTGCATTAACATTTATTTTATTGGTCTGATGTAACATTCTAATCTTGAATGTCATGTTTCCATTAGTTTTAAAAAGTAAATCATCATAATTAGCTGAAATTGACCTTTAAATTAAATCATTAAACTTGTGTTTTACTTGTGAGCTGAGTTACTGAAATACATTTTCTTAATATTCTAATTTATTGAATAAGACTGTCATTCTACATTGAGTTATGCAAGAAATGTACACTAGATGGCACTATTGCTTTGAGAAATGTATGCCACAGGACGTGCAAAGCACAAGAATGACACGACAAAGAAACTTATGTGATATCTTCTCTCCCGAGACTTGAGATCCAACATTTAATAAGAATATTAATATTGGCTCCATACGTGCTTCTAAAATTTCTAATTAATTAAACAAAAAAGAAAATTCAACATCAGCTTTATACATTATGCTTGAAATGCTCTCTAGTGTATTTACACCAAAATATACAAACATGAACCATAAGGAGGTGCTAGAAGACTTTTAGTAGAAGTCTGGGGATTCTGAATCAATGACTGATGAAAGCATTACAGTCATGGGCATTGCATTCTAGGCTTTTACACATTTTACACACATCCCAAGTTTTATTGTTGTACTTGTTTTGGTTTTTTTTAACAAACTTTTCTGTTTTGGCTGTTTAATGACTATTGATACAATGTAGTCTGTGATGCGTGAAACTTTGAACACCTGATAGTAAACAGAAAATAATTACACAATGATATGTAGACTCTTATTTTTATGTTATATATAGATGTGGGCAAGAAACAAAAGAACAAAAGGAGGGTTATGTGTTTAGCAGGCACACTGACGTATCAGCGCATTTAATCGATCATAACACGCTTTTTTGTTACTGGAAACCATATTCAAACATCTATCAAAGCTACATTTATAAAATAATTGCATTTTTAAGTATGTTTTTAATACATAGTTCAGCATATTTAAATATGCTTAGTGGCTATAACAATAGAATAGGAATGGAATATTCAGATATTGATGTATGATGAGCATATTACAAAGCACACAGGCGTTCATAATTTATTTAATAAATTTAGTAATATCAATGCATATATATATAACTGTACAAACAAATAATGATTAATAATGACCTGGCGGCCCACCATGCTTTACTAGTGCCACTGCCAGGCTAAGCATTTTTTTTTTTTTTTTTTTTTTAGGAAAAAAAAATAAAAAAAAAACCCCTTTTTTTTAGGCCGGCCGGCAGGTT